CGGCAATCAAGGCTTTGACCTCGATGCTTGGGTTCGAGTGTTCTCTGGGCAAAGAGTTTCCTTTGCGGAGACAGCAGAAATGCTTGGAGTCATGCTCGACCTGCAGCATGCCAGTGCTGGTACGATCAAGGTTGCAAACAAGCCGAACAGAGTGGACGGGCTTGAGCCCACCGTGCAACATATCATTTCTTCCGGCAGGGTTGTCACCAAAGACCTGCCATCATTTTTTGGAAGAGCGTCGTTTGTGGAAAGTCAATTTATGGGAAGAGAAGGACGGCTGGCCTTGTCTGAGCTGAGAGCCATGGAACGTAGTAAGTCTCAATGGGTTGAACTCTCGGCAGCACAGATGGATGCTCTTAAGAATTTGCTTACGGGGTACCATAAAGCTGTGCCGAGGTCTTTGAAGGTTGATGGACGAGCTTAAGTCCACCGTGCAACATATCATTTCTTCCGGCAGAGTTGTCACCAAAGACCTGCCATCACTTTTTGGAAGAGCGTTGTTTGTGGAAAGTCAATTATGGGAAGAGAAGGACGGCTGACCTTGTCTGAGCTGAGAGCCATGGAACGTAGTGAGTCTCGATGTGTTGAACTCTCGGCAGCACAGGTGGATGCTCTTGAGAATTTGCTTACGAGGTACCTTAAAGCTGTGCCGAGGTCTTTGAAGATTGAAAGTGTTTCCATGCCGCTTGTCTTGTTTACAGATGGTGCCTGTGAACCTGTAGGCGATGACATAGCATGCACGGTGGGTGGAATCTTGTTTGACCCAAGAGATGGAGGCGGGTTGAAGTTTTTTTTGGGGCGCATGTCAGTTCCGAAGTTGTAGAGTCTTGGAAGAGAGTTGGAAAGAAACATCCGGTTGCTTTGACTGAGTTGTACGCAGTGTGTGTCGCGCGACACATATGGAAGGACAGGATGGACGATTGCAAGTGTGTGTTGATGCTCTTATCAAAGGATATAGTTCGGAAGATGTGATGAAATCTCTTTTGATCCTGCTTGAAAAGTTTGATGGTGACCGACCGTTCTTGCCTTGGTTTTGCAGAGTCCCCTCTCAGTCGCACATTTCGGATTTGCCTTCCAGAGGCAGGTGGAAAGAGTTGCGTGAGAATTTTGCCAGACTATGTTTTTGTGGAAGCATTTTGCCCGTTTGAGTCCAAGAAACGCCGTACCGTTTTGCAAGACGAAAAGCATGGCTGAAGGAAATGGGGAAAAACAAAGTTGCAGTTTGTCAAGCAAACTTCAGAACCAAGAATGCAAAGTGCGCATGAGGCGTTTGCGCCTTAGAAAAGCGAAGTGCTTTTCTTTTCAGTCAAGGGATTGAAAAGATCAGAAAGTTTGAGCCAAGAGTTCTCGAAAGGGTGAATTTTTCGAAAGACCGTTTGAACATCCCCAATCGTTCAGCCGTGCGCTGGAAAAAGACCAGACCGTTCTGTCCTTTGCATTTCAGCTGTGAATATATATATGTATGTATATATATATATATTCGATATATATGTGTTGTTTATTCTTACCGTGGCGATAGCCTCACTAAGTTTCTAGATTTGTAGTCGCGCGTTTGAAACATTGGTTTATAGCGACTTCATTTCCCGCGTGTTTTGGTTTGTTTTCAACTTTATGTCATAAGCAATACTTGAGTTGAAAACTCATGATGAATTATGGCAACAAAGTTGAATTCGTTTGGAAGTTGTGAAACAACTTTCTTGCAAACCAAAACACCTTTTCTCACGTCAAAAAAAACTGAAGAAACAAGTTTTATGTTGGTAAGACCAACTGTGCGTTGCAAGCAAAGTGCTTGCTCTTTTTCATGACGTTTTTACACACGTGATGTTTCAGGTTCAAAACAGAAACACCTTTTTCTATGCAAGGTCTCAAGGTCGTTTCTCCAGACGTTGTTTTGTTGTCACAACCGTTTCTGCGACGAAAGAGGGGTTAAATTTAACCCCCTTTTATGACACTAAGAGTTTAAAATCAATCTGTGAATTTGATTCAATGTATGTCCGGTATTTTACAAGTCAAGGGCGGGTGTGGAGGGTTTCAAAACCTTTTTCCAATTTTTGTCCCTCCCACCCATAACCCAAAAATTTCCAAAAGTACGCAACCAAACTTGAGAAACACGAAGTCGTAGTTTGTCACACAAACTTCAACTGGGGAAAACAAAGTTGCAGTTTGTCAAGCAAACTTCAGAACCAAGAATGCAAAGTGCGCATGAGGCGTTTGCGCCTTAGAAAAGCGAAGTGCTTTTCTTTTCAGTCAAGGGATTGAAAAGATCAGAAAGTTTGAACCAAGAGTTCTCGAAAGGGTGAATTTTTCGAAAGACCGTTTGAACATCCCCAATCGTTCAGCCGTGCGCTGGAAAAAGACCAGACCGTTCTGTCCTTTGCATTTCAGCTGTGAATATATATATATATATATGTATATATATATATATTCGATATATATGTGTTGTTTATTCTTACCGTGGCGATAGCCTCACTAAGTTTCTAGATTTGTAGTCGCGCGTTTGAAACATTGGTTTATAGCGACTTCATTTCCCGCGTGTTTTGGTTTGTTTTCAACTTTATGTCATAATGCAATTCAAGAAGGGTTTCAAGAAGTTTATCAACTAGCATGGCCCGTGGAAGCTGGGGGGGAGGACGCACACTCCAGCCTCTGCATGGTGATCATGAAGAGAGAGGGCGGTGTTTTGTTGGCTGTTCCTTCAGGTTTCATCCCTCCAGAGGCGCTGCAGCTTGCATCAAGTCGCGATGGAGGAGCACTTTTGGGTCCCCATACAGTTTTATCTGTGCCAGGAGTTTTGCTGGATGGCGACGTGTCTCATACTACTGGAGAGGATCTAGATGTTCAAGTTGTGGATGCAAGTTTGGCCGTTCTGGATGGCCCTTCTCACGTGCCAGATGGAGGGGTCGAGGAGGATGCGGCAATCATAGCTTTTTCTACAGAGCTACAAGTTGTGCCAGACCCAGCCACGCTCCTGAGGTTTGCAAAGGAGTGGCTGGCGGTAGCAGGGCCAGGCAGATCAGTGTTTTACTCTGCGGTAGAGGAGTTCGACCAAGCGGATCCTCTCAATGCGGCCCCAAAGGAGGGCAAGGCCAGGGCCCCAAAGGCAAAGGCAGCAGAAAAGGCAAAAAGGGCGTCAGCTCAACAGGTTGCGGAGCAGCTCCAACATTTGTCTAAGATGATGCCCATCATCACGACCGCTCTGAGTTCAATTCAAGAGGAGCAGAAGCGGCTTCAACAGGTTGTGGAGGGCGCAGCAATGTCTCCCCCTCCTCGGCCTACGCAAGTGCCAGTCTCTATGAGCATGCAGCAGTTTGCCAAGTTGATGGGACCTCCTCCGAAAGTGCGAGGGACTGCCTTGGGCCCTCCGCCTCCAAAGACTTGGCACAGATGCCAGCTGCAGTGATGAACCTAGATGTGGCGGGACAGGAAGAAGGTCAGCAGGTGGAGGAGGAAGAGGCTTTGGGGAGAGGAGACAGCCTTACTTTGGCAGTCTTGGAACAGAGCAGGGCCCTCACCAGCCTTGTGACATATATTCAGGCAGGAGGAGACCCACTGTTGGACCATCACTTGACAGGAGTGTCTTCCTCTACGAAGGGGGCTCAAGGCCGCGAGAAGCTTCAGCAGGAGCTAGCAGCGCGCAGTGGAGGTTTTTGTCTCGCTGTTGCCCAGAATGCGTTCAAGAGGCTGAGACCGGCATCCAGAGTTCCCAACACCATGGAAGAGATCTCCGCAACAGATTTTTCAATGCTGACTTACCTGGAGCGTTTTGGAGGCTACGGGAACTCCAGAGATCTGGGACTGATGCAGTGTTTTGTTTTGGACTGTGCCATCAGGGGAGATCTAGAAGGGGTCAGAGAGCATGCGGCTCTGATGGCAGTGGGCTTGGAACAAGCAGCTCAAGACCAAGGGCGGTGAGACCTAGGCTTCCAACTTATCTTACTGGAGGATCCACCAACACAGATGTGGTCATACAGGGGGGGGGCGTCTCAACTCGGAAGGGTGAGGGCCTTTGCACCCTTGTGCCCCCAGAAGTGGGCGACCATTGCCCTTGCCTACGCGAAAGAAATCGATTTTATACAGGCAAGGAGGGTGGACCTTGGGAAGAGGCCTTCCGTTGCAGCTCCAGCTGCTGTTCCACCCTCTCCCAAAAAGAAATGGGGGGGGGGAAGTCCAAAGCAAAAGGCACAGGAGGAGGATCAACGCCGCAGTCAGCAGAGGCAGAGCAGGCCTGAAAGAAGGATCTGGTCAAAATGGCGCTGTTCTGGGTTCTGCTCCCTCACCGAGCTCTTCATCATCAGAGCGGCCCTCAGGGCCCGCTATATTCGGGAGGGGAGAGGACCTAGATAACAGCAGCGTGCAAAACCAAGATGGGAAAACTATGAGCAGAGGCTATGACTGCATTTCCCATAGTCCAGTGGAGTTGGACATTGGAATTCAGCAGCTGCATCAATCCCACAAAGACAGGAGTGCAGCAAAAATCGATGCAAGAGCAATTTGCCCCTTGGAGGTGAGAGAGGTTACTTTTGCAGCCTGGCCATCTATTTTGCTTCGTCAATTATTTGCGTCAAGGACCCCTTTCTCATTTTTCTTGAGGCAGTGTATCCTCATGTGCAGAGGCTCTCGTGATGAAGCCTCAACCGCCTTGTTTCCTTTGCCCTTCCCTCTTGGTGATGTGTGGTGCAGAGGCCCAGAACATCTAGGTGTCAGCCAACGGAGCAGATTGGCTGTGCGGAGGTCCTTGTATTTGGCCATTGCGGCCTTGAACTTCATGCACTTTCAATGCCCCTTGAAGGTGATTTCTGGTCTCTGGAGGTGTCCAGGTCCCTTGCATGCGGCAGTGCATGCCAGGTTGATCGCGCTGATCAAGGCGAGTGGCCCTGCTGGGAAGTTTTCTTTTCTCAGTTGCGGTCGCAAAGCTCACCAATTAGATGCAAGGTTGAAGGAGCTTCATGAGGCCTTACAAAGTTTGGGTTTTGATGAGGGCTCTTTTTACAAAAGGCAACATGAAGGAGCTGAGGTGAAGCCCAGGAATGACAAAGATGAGCTGAGGCCGTATAGGCCACTGGACGCGTCGCGCCTGAAGTTGTCAGGCAAGGGCAGCTGGGACTGCGGCGAGCACCTTTCAGACTTGCTATATATGCCCTTTGTCGAACCACGGTCAAACCAATACGATGTGGTTCCTCCAGCAGCAGTTTTGCCAGACATGAGCAAGGTGTCGGCTGAGGAGACATTGAGGCTTTGCAAAGTTTGGGATGCACAGGGTTTGTTGCGACTTTTTCCTTGTGCATTAGGGCCCATGCATAGTTGGTGCTATACCAAGGTGTTCAACAACTTCAAATCAGCTCAGGTGGACAGGCAGATTGGTGACAGGCGTGGCCAAAATTTACAGAAGGAAGGATAGAAGATGGACCATCTCACAGTTTGCCCACTGCCGCCTCTCTGCTTGCCATTTGCCCTGAGAGATATCAGCAATGCTTGGTTGGGTCAGTTGCAGGTAGGAGGGATTTTTACCACCAGTTTTTTGTGACTGATGAGCGGGCCAGGACGAACGTTGTGCTGCCCCATCTCGCATTAGAAAATCTGAAGGGCACTCGGGCACTTGCAGTTTTTGATGAGCAATTTTTGCATGAGAGTAGAGTCAAGCGGCGAGAGGAGGTTGGTGATTTTTTGCATAAGCCTGCCCCGCTTCTGGTCCCCTTTCAAGATGATACAGTCGTTTGTGCCTTTGCAGCGCTGTTTCAAGGTGATCACTTAGGGGTTGAGTTCGCCACAGAAGCTCACTCAAGGATGCTGCAGAGCTATGGACTGCTCGATGAGGACAGTCGCCTTCAAAGCTCAAAGCCGCTTCTTTGGGACCAGTGCGTGTCAGGGCTTGTGATTGACGATTTCTTTGTGGTGTCAAAGGAGCAGATCAATCCAGGGAGCTCCTATCTTGAGTCACGATCTGTTGAACACTTCAGGGTTGCAAAAGCAGCGTATCAGCAGGAAGGGTTGCAAGGGTCTGACGACAAGGATGTCATCGGGCAGACACAGTTTACGGTTTGTGGTGGTGAGGTCTGCAGCTCTGAGGCGACCGTCCGAAGAGGGGCGGTCACCATTGCAGCCCCATTTGAGAAAAGGATGGCCTTAGCTATGATGACAGCCTCAGCCTCCGCGCTTCCTGCAACTTCAGATGCGCTGCTATCATGCCTTGTTGGTTCATGGATATCAGTTGCTCTTTTGAGACGGCCTTCTATGTCCATTTTGGATGAGGTGTTCAAAGTTATCCCACCTGGCCAGCTTGATCCTCAGTGTCCAGTGGTACGGTTTTTCCCTCGTGCAGCAGCCTCAGAGCTTCAGCAACTTGCATGCCTAGCCCCGGTGCTGTGCAGCAATCTTGCAGTGCCATTTGCCACAGACGTTTTCGCAACAGATGCGTCAATGGCAAAAGGGGGAATTGTGAGGAGTGAGGTGACTTCAGAGGAGGCAGCTATCCTCTGGAGGACTGCAATGAAAGCAAAATCATCATCGCCTGTGATCTCGAGAACCCAAGCGATGCTCTCCATGTACGACCCAATGTTTGAAGAGAATGCTGAGGGGAAGGCAGGTCAGTATGAGGGCGCGGGATTTCTGGAGGAGGATTTTGCCGAGAATGATGGAAGTGCTGCCCAGAATGCAGTCCCTAGACCCCTTGGGCTGCGTTATGAGTTCATTGAGATCTGTGGGGGTGCTGCAGTTGTTACAAAGGAGTTGATCAAGCTTGGAGTCGTTTGTGGTCCTGTGATTGATGTATCAATTTCGAGGCAGTTTGATTTGAGGAACTACCGAGTCATTGAGTGGATCATATTTCTTTTGGAAAACAACAGACTGCAGAGCTTTTTGGTATCACCCCCATGTACCTCTTTCTCTCCTGCGGCTCATCCTTGCGTCAGATCATACCAAAACCCCAGGGGTTTCAACCAGGAGAACCCCAAAGTGAAGTTTGGAAACCAACTTGCGTTTGCTGCTTTGGCCTTGATGATGGTTGCGTTGAGGTTGAGGATGAAGAAATGTGGACTGCTTGAACAGCCCAGGAGGAGCAAGATGCGTTGGCTGAAAGAGTGGAAGAGGCTCTTAGAGCTTGGAGCGAGTGAGACCTACACAGCTTCCTGCATGTTTGGATCCATTCATCAGAAGGAGTTTGCTCTGCTTGGTGTGCATATGCATGTGGGGCTGCTGAAGAGGAAATGCAGCCGTGATCACGAGCATGTGGTGATCCAGGGTCAGTACACAAAAGCTTCTGCCACTTGGTCTTGCCCTGGCACTTGCAATCTTTTTCAAAGACCACATTCGAGCATTCGAAAGAGCGAGCAAGAGGCTGAGTGTTTCTGCTGCTGGGCTTGAGGATGTTCTGAGCAATGACATCTGCATCAGCCTCCCATGGAGCAATCACGCAGCCTGGTATTGGCAAGGCTGCTCGCATATCAATGTTTTGGAGCTTTCTGCAGTTGTGAAGCTTTTGAGAGATCTAGCAAGGGATGGAGGAGACAGGAGGCAAGTTGTTTTTGTGGACTCTCAGGTAGTGCTGTGCGTTTTGGCGAGGGGCAGATCCTCAGCGGCATCTTTGCGGGGTCTTCTGAAAAAGGCCTGTGCTTGATCCATTGCCTTTGGGATCTATCTTGCACCCAGATATGTGCCAACTCGGCTGAATCCTGCTGACTGCCCCACAAGAGACACGGACTTGCCAGAGCCAGGAAGGTCAATTTTAGGTGGACTTCATGACCCCCAGGCATCTTTTCGCCTTGCTTCCATCAGCTCTCTTAGACATTGGATCTCAAATTGGGCTCGTCTCTTTCTTTTACTGACTCCTGCATTCATCCTCCTTCCCTGCTCCTCCAGGCGGCACAGCCCAGAGCCCATCGATCTTCATGAATGGACTTTGGACTTTGACTCAACCTTTGGATTTCCGGGTGAGGGGCCACAGGGGCTTTGTGTTTGGGTTCTCCTGGTTTCTACCATTTGTGACCATGCCATAGGTGTAGGAGTAGGTGATGCGAGCCATGCTGATGCGGTGCGGCGTGAGAAGCGCACTGGCATAGTGTTGGAAGATGGCAGACGTGTGACGGAAGCCACTGCGAACGTGAGGGATGTCCTTTTTGAGCGTTTTGAGGGTTGGCTACAGACTGAAGGCATGGCCTTGCATGATGTGTTGTTTGCGCAACCCCCTGACCTTGACCTTCTCAACAGAGTGCTGGTAAGGTATGGACGATGGTCATTTGAGCAAGGTAAAACCTCTGTACCACTTTTCAGAAACTGTCAATGCAGTAGCAAACAAGCGGCCTATGGTGCGGCGTTCTCTGCAGCAGAGCTGGGATCTGGCGTTCATGTGGTCATCACATGAACCAACAACTCACCATGTTGCGATGCCCCACCAAGTGTTGGTTGCAATTCTTTCTGCTGCATTAAACTGGGGGTGGACTCGAGAGGCCGCTGTCTTTGCTTTAGCATGGGGGGCCCTGCTCAGGATTGGGGAAGTATTGGACGCTTCACGTGCTGACCTGATCCTTCCATCTGGCATTGACTATACCAACAGTTTTGGGTTGCTCAGAATCAAGGAGCCAAAGACACGGTTCCGGACAGCCAAACATCAGTCAGGGCGCCTGGATCAGCCTGACTTGCTGGAGATTGTAAGAATTGGTTTTGGCCGATTGAGGCCATCAGAAAAGCTTTGGCCGCTTTCAAGAGCTACTCTGAGGTCTCGTCTTGTCAAGCTGCTGACAAGACTAGACCTGCCGACTGAGAACCATCAGCAGCCAAAGCCTATGAGTCTTGCAAGCTTCAGACCTGGAGGTGCAACATACATGATGACTGTTTGCGATAACGCTGAACAAATCAGACGTAGAGGGCGCTGGGCTTCTTTGCGAGTTATGGAGGTGTACTTGCAGGAAGTGATGGCTTCCACGTATCTGAACCAAATCAGTGAAGGTAGCAAACAGAAAATCTTACTCAGCATGAACATGTTCCCTCAGCTCCTCGCACAAGCAATTAAGTATGATGCAAGCCAGATACCAGCAACTACCTGGTATTTTTTGTTTCGACAGCAGCAGAGAGACTGAACTGATGTTTAAAGTGGGTTTTGGGTGGCTGATGTAAAGTCATGGAGCCAGCTACCATCCACACGAACAACCCGAAGGCACAGAGGAAAACCAGGAGTTGAACCCTTGACCAAGTAAGGGTGATTCTTCATATGTTTTCCGCTCAAGCTGACCCACCACCACCCCTTGACGCCTCCTGTCCCTGCTGCTGTCTCTTTTTATAGAGTTTTGTACTTTGGACTCAGCCCCGTTGTATAGGCAGTTTGCTAGTTGAAAACTACTCCAAAACTGAAACCTCAGTTTAGCCAAAGAGTTCTGTCATGCAATAAGCATGGATGTGAATGAGCGCTTACTCCGCAGGCGTTGTGGTTACAAAAGATGCAGCGACTCACTTTAGTGATACGCCTTTATCTTAAACTGGTTCATTGGCAGGGAGCTGCCGACCTCATGTCCCTCTCTTGCGTTCGTGTCTCTGTTGTTCGCCTCTCTTGTGTCTCACCTTAGCGACCTTATCTTGCGCGGTCTGTCTCCCTGCGTTTGTTTCTTGTCTTGCGTGACGGAGTGAACAAACGGTGAGTTTCAAGAGAAAGGTAAAACAACGTTTGAAACGAAAACTGGTTTTTGTTATTCCTGTAGTGGAATCAAACCTGTTTTTCTTTTGTGGAGATTACATGTTTTCGTGGATGCGTCGAATCATGTTTCTTTATTCCACTTTTTCATTTCAAGGGAGGGTGGGTGGGACAACGTTCTCACCGCCTGGAGGTTTTGAAACGGGGTGGTCATGAGGGCCATCCTCTTTCTTCTCATTTGTTTGTGCGGTGAGGCGTTTAGTGCCATGGATATTTTCCTCATGGCTGAAAGCTACAGGCTGGGGGTCAAGAGATCTTCGATCATTTTTCCATGGGAAAGGACGGCAATGCAGCCTGTTTTTGGAAAGCGACAGAGGCTGATACAAGCCCCAAGGTTTGTTCCTTTGCCCAGTGATTGCGAACCTTTGGCAGCCTTTGACGAGAAAGAGGTGGCAGGAAAGGTATCATGGTCGAGGGTCGCTTCAGTGATTCCCTGGCCAGTGACTCAGGAGAGGGCTCTGGCAAGAGCCTTGGAAAACTGGAGGATCATCGTGGTCGACAATTTGGAAGCTTCAATTTTGGGTCGACAGATCAGAAGCATCCTTGATGGCACTGTGAATGACATGACAGTTGAGCAAGTCATTCGTGACTCCTTTGCTGGAAAATCGGTTTCAACGCTGCGCTCCAGATCGTCTTCGATCATGGCTTTTGCAAGGTGGAAGAAAGCAATGGATGATGATGCAAAAATTTTTCCACTGTCTGAAGAGCAGGCCTACAGATATATCTTGGAACTGCGTCAGCTGAATGCCCCGAAAACCAAGCCTACGAGATTTTTGGAGAGCCTGACATTTGCTTTCCATATGATTGGAGCTGACGTGGGGCAATCTCTGCATTCACCAAGACTCAAAGGAGCCGTCATCTCACCGATGGTGCCGCCGAAGAAGAAGGTGCCTTTGGAGGCATGGCAAGTGGCAGCTTTTGAGAATATTGCTATGCATGGCAGTGGTCAAGAAGCTGTTTTTGCTGGTTATGTTTGCATGACTTTGCATGCGAGACTGAGATGGTCGGATGGACAGTATTGCCAATATGAACCATACACGGACTTGCACAATGGTACAGGTTTTTTGGAAGGTGAGCTTTATCATCACAAGACTGCAGGGAGGCAGAAACAATCCAGGCGCCTGCTTCCCATGGCCTGCTGTCTGCCGGGGCTCATGGGAGATTGGGCTACTCCTTGGCTCGACCAGCGCTTCTCTCAAGGCCTTGAGGCGGGCCCTGGGGTTCCAACCATGCCTGTCCCACTGGCTGGGGGACGATGGGGGCAAGTCCCTTTGGAACCTGCGCAGGCCACTATTTGGATCAGAGAGATATTAGCCAAACTCAGGCCTTCGTGCGATATCTCTGAGATTGCAACGCGCTCACTGAAGTCTACAGTGTTGAGCTGGATGGCAAAGTGCAGCTGTAGGGAAGACCTTCGACGTTTGGCTGGCTACCACGTGGATCCAGGGTCAAAGTCGGCGTTGGAGTATTCTCGCGATGCTCAAGCTCCGGTTTTGCATGCAATCGAAGGGATCATGCTCATCATCAAGGAGAACATCTTTGATCCTGATGTTTCTAGGGCGCGACGTTGGAAGATCCCGCATGTTCGGAGCCTGGAAGATGCGATGATCTATTTGTCACGGCAGCAACATGTTCCAGACGGTGCTGTGTCTGAAGGGTATGAGCCTGAGTCCCCAGTTGAGGACATGTGGACACTTGTAGGCTCTGATGGTGAGATTTCTCTGTCTAGCGTGAGTGAGGGCAGTCATGAGCTTTTTGAGACCGGATGTCAGACGTCTGACGAAGATAGGGATGCAGAGTTTGCTGCACCAATCGTCGGGGCCTCAATGGCGAATGAACTGCATTACTCAGTAGGAGACATTGAAGTTTACAAGCATGTCAAGAGTGGTTGCTGTCATGTTGCAAAGAAGTCACAAGTCGATGAGGACGATGGTGACCCTATAATTTTAAGATGCGGCAAGATTGCAACCAGAAATTTTGAACATGTTGATGATGTCGCCAATTTCATGCCATATAAGTGTAGCAGATGTTTTTCCGGAGTGGCAAGCTGAGACTGCAGTGTGTTTTTTTTCTTGACTGATTTTCGTGTTTGACCAGGGTGATGTGAGCCACCACAACACAGAGTGTCAGGAACCAAGCAGCCGTGAGATCGTGTTAGCTCACCTCGCACCAAATGTTGCAGCCTCCGACACGCACTCCTTTTTCATGTGCCATAAGGGAGAAAAGGAGTGCACTCAATTCCAAGGCAACAAACATTCAGATGTGTACAGCCATATGCTCATTTCAGTTGTTTACTTGTTTCGCAGTGATGTCCTGTCTTGTGCATTGCACCTGTGACGGAAGTGGCCACGGGATGCTGTTAGCAGCGACCTTTGCAGATTTACGTTTGGATCCCAGTTCAAACGGCAGGGACATCACTAGGTTGTTTTGCCACTCAAATTCATTTCTTCTGTCAGACGTTGACTTGACTTACTGCACAGTTTGCATGTGTTTTGTTGCCACGCAAGTCAATTGTTCTTACGTGATTTGTAACGTCGATGGCGACGACCTATGAGCGTGAGGTGCTCCGGCCTTAGACATGCAGCAGTGTCACAGAAGTCAAGATCATTTGAGGTGGACAATTTTTCATATCGTCAAATGTTTTTGAGTTATTGCACATGTCTTTGTCAGCAGTGCGTTTGCTTGCAGAACAGATGAACCAGCACTGCAGTGTGTATGGAACCTAGCGTCTGGCCGTGTGAGCACAGCTTGGAACGACGCTGACCAAAGAAACTTGCATTTCATCTTTTTGAGTTGTGTTTTTGACTGCCAACAAGTGATTTCTTTTTGTGCGTCTTTTCCAAGTTCAAAGGGCTCTTGATTTGTAATTGCGTGAATTACCTGGAGCGTGAGCGGCAAAAGTGCTTGAGCCTTACTTGGAAAGCCGGAAGCGGTTGGACCTGTATCACTGATCCTTGTTGCAGATTGTAGTGTCAATTTGTGCATGAGTGCACTTTGAACATGTGCGGAAGATTGCATTGATGTCCTTCGTTGATACTACCTTCAACCAATCATTTTTTGAACATGTTGTCGAATCGGTTCCAGCAAGCCGCAGTGAAAGCACTGTGAGAGGAAACCCAACGGTGACAGTACTCATTTGTCAGAAAGTTTTGACAGCATTGGCTATTGAATTTCACCGTCAAATGTTTATCATTTTTTCTTTCTTGTGGAAAGCCACAATGTCGCTGGTAGACAGCAATGCGGTTTTCGAGAGCAGGGCATTGGCAATTGGCATCCCTCAGCCGACCATTAATGCCTTGGCTACGCGTGGTTGGGTTACGCATGCCACGTTTGCATTTGCAGTGGCAACCAACCCGGCAGCTGGAGATGATCAAAACTTCATTGACGGAGTTCTGGTGCCCATTTTGGGAAATGAAGGGCATGTCGATGCCCCCAAGTTGCGACGGCTCTTCTATGAGAGCCACACCTTGACATCGGCGGACCTACGCCGTAAAGTGGAAGCCAATGAACAGGAGGCTCCAAGGAAGCTACCTCCTCCAGAGATAGCACAACGGCTTGAAGCACTGCAAGCCAGGATCCGACCATTGGTCATACAGAATGTCTTGGAGCCCTCCCATCAACTTATCAATGCTATTGTGCAGTGCGTGGAGGACGGAAGGGTTCGATACATAGAGTGGGCGAAGTGCACATCAAGGTCCCAGGAGGTCAACAACATCCGTGAGGACTCAGGCCTGAAGATTTGGAAAGCGGATGCCTCTGGAGTTGTCAGGGCAATTTCCAAGGAGCCCAACCTGCAAGCAACTCTCACTACCGAGCTTGATGTGCACAATGCACTTCGCAGACGAGGGGTTGCATACGAGATTGCTCAGGCCATGTCTTCTGAGGTCCATGAAGCTCTTCTGAATTTTTACTTCTACGAGCTGAAAAAGGATCCTTTGGAAGGTTTTTCACAGGTGACTCTGGCTCAAGTGGCTGCGGCAGATCGTGAGCTACATGTGCGACTTGCCGAGCTGACAAGAGGTGGTCTTCATCCAGGCCCTGGCGGCGAACTCCCGTTGAACGACCATGTCAACGCCTTGATACAGGGCCCAGAGTTGAAGTGGATGTTAATGCCACTCCCAAAGCGCCAGGCCCTGAAGGTCGCGCCTGCCGAGCATACGACGTCAGCTGCAGCAGGGGATACAGATACAAAAAGGACAAGGAACGACAACAACAAGAAGTCGAAAGCAGAGGCCGCAAGATTGAAAAAGTTGCGTCGAACACCAATGCCCAAACAACTCCTTGGAGGAGTTCCTTGTGATGAAAATGGAAGCCCCTTCTGTTTTGCTTTCAATTTGGGGACGTGCCCAAATGGAGATGATTGCAAAAAGGGAATGCACCTGTGTTGCAAAAAGGGTTGCAAAAAGAAGCACTCGTTTGTTTCTTCGCACAAGGCGGGTTGACTAGACAAAGATGCAGCAAAGCAGGCTGAAAGCAGCCAACACAAAATAGAAGGCGAAGGTCTTCTCCCTTCAGTGCGGCCTACACGAAAGCGTCAAGGCTCCATGGAGGAAAGCGGCAGTAAGCGCCGCCGTGCTGAAGCACTCGCATCTGAGAAAGAGCTCTCAGAGGTGGGTGCATACTTTGCCGAAGGGCAAACCTTTTCTGGCGTGCATGCTGAAGAGCAGGCACACTTTGAGAAAGCTCATCGCGATGGCGATCGGGTAACATCTTCTGGCAGTGCAAAGCAGTGCACAGTCTTTTTGCTTGATATTTTTTCTGGAACAGCCGGAGTGGCTGCATCGTTCATTCAGCTTGGTGGAGATGCGTTGGGTATGGATCACATGGTGGACAAAAAACGGATGAGGGGCCCCATTGCAAAAACAGATCTCTGCAAAAAGGAGACACAGGACCAGGTCATTTCCTGGCTTGAACAAGGAAAGGTTGATGGGGTCATGCTTGCACCTCCCTGCGGAACCTCCAGCAGAGCAAGAGAAATTCCAGTTTTTGAGTCAGGGCGCAAACGTGCAGCGCCACGGCTGCTGCGCAACAAGCGATGGCCGAACGGCATTCCTTCGTTGAGGGGCGTGGATGCTTTGAAGGTAAAACTGGCTAACAAGCTATACGCTTTTACAAGACGGGTCATCGACACTTGCATCAGACTGCACATCCCTTTCATTTGTGAGAATCCCTTGAGGTCTTGGATGTGGGAAACAACGTTTTTTTCTGACCTGCCAGATGACGAGTGTCGATTTCAGTGCATCCACAGCTGCATGTATGGAGGACAGCGGTTAAAGCAGACCGCACTTTTACTGAACTTCGAAGCCAGCAATTTGAAGTTGCAATGCAATGGCAAACATCAACATTTACCATGGGGCAAAACGCTGTCGCCTCATACTGGCCAGACAGTTTTTTCAACAAGTACGGAAGCTGAGTACCCATGGCCTTTATGCAAACAGCTTGCACTGGCTTTTGCGGAACAAATGCGCTTGGCGGGCAAGACAGTGGAGCCTGCCTCTATGTCCATGGACGTTTGCCAAAGGATGGGAGCTGGTACCCAACCTCGGGGCAAACTCGGCCCCCTGCTCTTGGCCGAGTTCAAGCACAAAATCATGGTGAGCTCCTCTGATGTCACCGTTCCCAAGACCATTACAGATGACAGCGTGGCACCTTTTCAGGGCTTGCCACTTCACTCCAAGCTGATTTCTTCTCGAACTAAGGTGGTAAAAGGGGAAACTGGCGATGAAGAAATACAGGTGTCTGAATTTGGAGTGTATTACACGCCTGATGAGTTTTTGCAGATGGCTTCAGGTTTACAACACCCTTTGGACTCACCGCAGTTGGTTGACGAGGTGAACTTGAGGTCCATGTTGGCCATCCGTGATTGGTCTGAAGCCGACATTTTGGCGTTCAGAGCAAAGAGCTTGAAACACTACACCAAGCTTGCTGTGAGCCTCATGGAAGATGAAAAGAATTTGCGGAACAGCATGGATCCTCAAGTCAACGCAGTGTTGAGTGGAAAGAGGTTGAAGCTTTTTGAGCAGATGTGTCTGGATGCTGGCGTCTCTGACGAGACGTTGTTTGAGGAACTCACTTCTGGGTTCCGATTGACGGGCCCCATGAAAGCGTCAGGGCAATTCCCCAGGAGGATCAAGCCTGCCTCCATCACAGTACAGCAGCTGAGGGATTCTTCGGTTTGGTCAAAGCGCATGATTTACTCCTCTTGCAAAAGGGTGGCATCGGACCCTGAGATCGCTGCAGCAGTTTTCCAGGAGACGCAGCAACAGTTGAGCGATGGCTGGGTTAAGGGGCCTTTTACAATGCAGCAGCTTGATGAGCGTTTTTCTGGATGCTGGATCCCGTCAAAGCGTTTTGGGGTTAGACAGGGCGGAAAGGTGCGGGCAGTCGACGACTTTTCTGAATTCCTGATCAACTGCTCCGTGACCTCTACTGAAAAACTGGCCCTCTACGGAATCGATGAAGTTGTCAACTCTGCGCGCTTCTTTATGGGAATTGGCTCCATCACTTTTGACCAGAGCGGTCTGCCGGTGCTGAAACAGCCGGCTGCAGAGAAGCAGGGCCCTTGGTTACAACTCCAAGGACGGGCTCTAGATCTCAAAGCTGCCTACAAGCAGCTTGCCAGGCATCCAGAGGATGCCTGGGCCTCAGTGCTGGCAGTTTGGAACCCGGAGATCAACGATGTCCAGTTCTACGAATCTGTGGCTCTCCCATTTGGATCTGTTTCAGCTGTAATGTCGTTCAATCGAATGGCACGAGCGCTTCGCATCATCATGTCCAAGCTGTTCTTACTGGTGAACACAAATTTCTTTGACGATTTTTGTCAACTGGAGATCCCAGCTTTGTGCGGATCGGCATGGGAAACTGCTGAGTTGGTTATGCGTTTACTTGGATGGAGGATATCCACCTCCGAAGACAAGCGGTTGCCTTTTTCGACAAAGTTTGTTATGCTGGGGGCAGTGATTGATCTGTCATCAATGGCAGAAGGGAAGGTCTTGGTCATGAACAAGCCTTCCAGGTTGGAGGACATAGCAAGCCTGGTACACAGCATCACTTCCAAGAGGAAGGTACCCTTGTCTTTGGTCGAGACGCTGCGTGGCCGTCTCCTCTATGCTGCAGGTCACACATTTGGACGTTCCACCCAACTGGCAATACAGTTGATTTCCAAGGCAGTGCGTGAGGGTCCATTGGTTGTGATTGATGAGAACACTAAGAAGGTGATTCTCTCTGCGCTTGAGCTCTTACAGCAGGCCGGTCCCAGAGTTGTGAATGCATGGACCGGTACTAGACCCATACTGGTTTTCACCGATGGAGCTTGTGAGCAAGATGGTGCTCAGGTTACTTTTGGTGCGGTGCTTGTTGACTTCCATAGCAACACCTTCTGCTATTTTGGTGACAATGTACCTGAGTTCTGGGTGTCGAAATGGAAGGCCTCTGGCCGCGTTCAGCTTATCTGCCAGGCTGAGATTTTCCCAGTCGTGGTGGCCAAACTGACCTGGAGCGAAATTCTGTCGCACAGAGCTGTCCTTTGGTTTATTGATAACAACTCAGCGCAAGCGGCCTTGGTTCGGTCATTTTCACCGGTGACTGACAACTACGAGCTGCTTGTAAGAAACGCTGAGTTGGATGTCTGGATGCAGACTATGAACTGGTACTCAAGAGTGCCATCAAAATCCAACGTGAGTGACGACCCATCGAGGCTGTGCTTCACTGAGCTTGACAGGAAAGGATACACACGATGCGAGCCGTGTTGTGACTTCACGAAGGTGCAGTTGCAGAAAGGGGTGGCAGGCGTGAAGGAAAAACTCCTTTGACGCAAAACGGTCAACGGATCGCGGGCTCCCCGATTTATGTTGAAAAAGGAGTTCATCCGTCCTGTCATTTCTCAGAGCTCAGTGATGTTGCAGAGTTTTCGAACGGCGGTCGTTTCTTGTTTCATTTGGATGTCGAGTGATTTTTACATGTTGGTTTTTGAAACTGTTTTTTATGCGTAATGCGCGAACGCGGTGTAGGACTTGAGGTGAACCAAAATAAGATAAGCAGCGACTCACTTTAGTGATGCGCCTTTATCTTAAACTGGTTCATTGGCAGGGAGCTGCCGACCTCATGTCCCTCTCTTGCGTTCGTGTCTCTGTTGTTCACCTCTCTTGTGTCTCACCTTAGCGACCTTATCTTGCGCGGTCTGTCTCCCTGCGTTTGTTTCTTGTCTTGCGTGACGGAGTGAACAAACGGTGAGTTTCAAGAGAAAGGTAAAACAACGTTTGAAACGAAAACTGGTTTTTGTTATTCCTGTAGTGGAATCAAACCTGTTTTTCTTTTGTGGAGATTACATGTTTTCGTGGATGCGTCGAATCATGTTTCTTTATTCCACTTTTTCATTTCAAGGGAGGGTGGGTGGGACAACGTTCTCACCGCCTGGAGGTTTTGACCCCCCACACCCATCCCACCTCCAGGCGTGAAGGAAAAACTCCTTTGACGCAAAACGGTCAACGGATCGCTGGCTCCCCGATTTATGTTGAAAAAGGAGTTCATCCGTCCTGTCATTTCTCAGAGCTCAGTGATGTTGCAGAGTTTTCGAACGGCGGTCGTTTCTTGTTTCATTTGGATGTCGAGTGATTTTTACATGTTGGTTTTTGAAACTGTTTTTTATGCGTAATGCGCGAACGCGGTGTAGGACTTGAGGTGAACCAAAATAAGATAAGTTTTTATGGTAGCGCGGAGCTTAAGGATCCAGTGTTTCTGGTGAAAGCTCCTGGGTTGTTAGTTTCCCAACCTTTGCCTTGGGACCCGAAGCCATAGCCTTACAAAGCCTTACAACTTTCTGGATCTAGGGTTTTAGCTCAGGGATCTGTGGAAAGATGAGTGCCCAAGGAAGTCCAACTTCTGCGGTTGATGGTGGTGAACTTTCAGGATCGCAAATAGCGATGAGAATGGTGCAGGCAGCAGAAGCTGCTGTGGCGGCTGCAAATGCAGCATCGACGGCAATCAATTCATTGACTTCGAGCTCAACAGGTACTGGTGGTGCAACTGGTACTACAAAAGCAGAATGGTACAAGGTTTTGCCGAAGCCGAGCTGTTTCGAACCAAAAGATAGAGAAGCTGAGTTAGCAACTTTTCGTGACTGGTGGTCGCAAGTTGAACAATACATGTTGGCTGTGGATGCCAATTATGGGCATGATTTGCAGACCATCAGGTCAAAGTTGGATGAGGAGATACCGTTGGTGGAGCAAAGCATCGAGCAGACACGTCGCAGTGCATTTTTATATGGTTTGTTGGCCTCCTTGCTGAAGAACCGTCCCCTTTTACTCCTTAAAGGAATTGAACAAGGGAATGGACTTGAAGCAGTGTGTCAACTTTTCAGGACGTGCCAGCCGAGCTCCAGGAACAGATCGCTTGGGTTACTTCATTTGATCATGCAATGGCCTAGCTTTGATCAAAGGAAGTTTAGGGGGAGAAACTTCCGTGTTACGGACTTTTAGAATGTCAGGGAAAGAGTTAGTCAAAGAAAGAGTTAGCAAAGAAAGAGTTCGTCAGGGAAAGAGTTAGTGAGGGAAAGAGTTAGTCAAAGAAAGAGTTAGTCAAAGAAACAGTTAGTCAGGGAAAGAGTTAGTCAAAGAAAGAGTTAGTCAGGGAAAGAGTTAGTCAAAGAAAGAGATAGTGAGGGAAAGAGTTAGTCAAAGAAAGAGTTAGCAAAGAAAGAGTTAGTCAGGGAAAGAGTTAGTCAAAGAAAGAGTTAGTGAGGGAAAGAGTTAGCAAAGAAAGAGTTCGTCAGGGAAAGAGTTAGTCAAACCAAGAGTTAGTGAGGGAAAGAGTTAGTCAAAGAAAGAGTTAGTGAGGGAAAGAGTTCGTCAAAGAAAGAGTTAGCAAAGAAAGACTTAGTCAGGGAAAGAGTTAGTCAAAGAAAGAGTTAGTGAGGGAAAGAGTTAGTGAAGAAACAGTTAGTCAGGGAAAGAGTTAGTCAAAGAAAGAGTTAGTGAGGGAAAGAGTTAGTCACAGAAAGAGTTAGCAAAGAAAGAGTTCGTCAGGGAAAGAGTTAGTCAAAGAAAGAGTTAGTCAAAGAAAGAGTTAGTGAGGGAAAGAGTCAGTCAAAGAAAGAGTTAGTGAGGGAAAGAGTTAGTCAGAAAGATTAGTATCAGGTAGTCAAAGAAAGAGTTTGCAAAGAAACAAGTTAGTCAAAGAAAGAGTTAGTGAGGAAAAGAGTTAGTCACAGAAAGAGTTAGCAAAGAAATTGTTCCCTCACTGTAAATGGCATTGCGAGTGGTGCTGGTGGAGGAGTTGCCGATGGAGTTTTGGAGGAAGTCTCGCACGAAATGCGTTTTTGAGAGATAGCAAATGCACGAAAGCCTATGTTTTTCCATACAAAGTGCGTCCACGAACGTCGATGATCTACCTCTGCGGTGCGACGGGTGCGAGACGGTCTCGTGTGTGGTCGGATCATGTTCGGATCATTCGGATATGGTCGGATCGGTTCCGCATTGTAAATGGGGTGTCAACTGTTTTTCGTGCATGTGTGGTCGACAGAATTCCATTGTGATTTGCAACTGTAGGATCGTTCCCGCATTGTAAATGGGGTTGCAAGTGGTGCTGGTGGATGAGTTGCCGATGGAATTCCATTGTGATTTGCAACTCTAGGATCGTTCCCTCACTGTAAATGGGATTGCAAGTGGTGCTGGTGGAGGAGTTGCCGATGGAGTTTTGGAGGAAGTCTCGCACGAAATGCGTTTTTGAGAGATAGCAGATGCACGAAAGCCTATGTTTTTCCATACAAAGTGCGTCCCCGAACGTCGATGATCTACCTCTGCTGTGCGACGGGTGCGAGACGGTCTCGTGTGTGGTCGGATCATGTTCGGATCATGGGCGGATATGGTCGGATCGGTTCCGCATTGTAAATGGGGTGTCAACTGTTTTTCGTGCATGTGTGGTCGACAGAATTCCATTGTGATTTGCAACTGTAGGATCGTTCCCGCATTGCAAATGGGGTTGCAAGTGGTGCTGGTGGATGAGTTGCCGATGGAATTCCATTGTGATTTGCAACTGTAGGATCGTTCCCGCAATGCAAATGGCATTGCAAGTGGTGCTGGTGGAGGAGTTGCCGATGGAGTTTTGAAGGAAGTCTCGCACGAAATGCGTTTGTGAGAGATAGCAGATGCACAAAAGCCTATGTTTTTCCATACAAAGTCCGTCCCCGAACCTCGATGATCTACCTCTGCGGTGCGACGGTTGCGAGACGGTCTCGTGTGTGGTCGGATCATGGTCGGATCGGTCTCGGATCATGGTCGGATCGGTTCCGCATTGTAAATGGGGTTTCAAGTGTTTTTCGTGCATGCGCGGTCGACAGAATTCCATTGTGATTTGCAACTGTATAGGATCGTTCCCGCATTGTAAATGGGGTTGCAAGTGGTGCTGGTGGATGAGTTGCTGATGGAATTCCATTGTGATTTGCAACTGTAGGATCGTTCCCGCAATGTAAATGGGGTTGCAAGTGGTGCTGGTGGATGAGTTGCCGATGGAATTCCATTGTGATTTGCAACTCTAGGATCGTTCCCGCACTGTAAATGGGATTGCAAGTGGTGCTGGTGGATGAGTTGCCGATGGAATTCCATTGTGCTTTGCAACTGTAGGATCGTTCCCGCAGTGTAAATGGGATTGCAAGTGTTGCTTCCTCATTTGGCTGCATGCGTAATACTATTGTCTTTTGCAGCTGGACTTCGTAAATCGTATTGGAGTGGCTGCATGAAGGCTGCGACAGTGATTTGTCAGCAGATTTTCTCCATTTTGGGGCTAGCGATTTTCCTTCTAAAAATCCTTTTAAAATGTGCTTCAAAATCGTCTTTTTTTCGCTCTGGCGTCGAGATCCGGTTTTGGAGCTGCAATTTCCGACCCAGTTGCGCGTAGTTCTATTGTGTTTTGCAACTCAGTCTTTGCAGATCGCATTGTAATGGCTGCGTCAAGGTTGCTTGGTGCCGCGGCTGCATGCGCAATACTATTGTCTTTTGCAACTGGACTTCGTAAATCGTATTGGAGTGGCTGCATGAAGGCTGCGACAGTGATTTGTCAGCAGATTTTCTCTATTTTGGGGCTAGTGATTTTCCTTCTAAAAATCCTTTTAAAAAGTGCTTCAAAATCGTCTTTTTTTCGCTCTGGCGTCGAGATCCGGTTTTGGAGCTGCAATTTCCGACCCAGTTGCGCGTATTTCTATTGTGTTTTGCAACTCAGTCTTTGCAGATCGCATTGTAATGGCTGCGTCAAGGTTGCTTGGTCCCACGGCTGCATGCGTAATACTATTGTCTTTTGCAGCTGGACTTCGTAAATCGTATTGGAGTGGCTGCATGAAGGCTGCGACAGTGATTTGTCAGCAGATTTTCTCCATTTTGGCGCCAGTGATTTTCTTTTTAAAAATCCTTTTAAAAAGTGCTTCAAAATCGTCTTTTTTTTCGCTTTGGCGTCGAGATCCGGTTTTGGAGCTGCAATTTCCGACCCAGTTGCGCGTAGTTCTATTGTGTTTCGCAACTCAGTCTCTGCAGATCGCATTGTGATGGTTGCGTCAAGGTTGCTTGGTGCCGCGGCTGCATGCGCAATACTATTGTCTTTTGCAGCTGGACTTCGTAAATCGTATTGGAGTGGGTGCATCAAGGGTTCGACAGTGATTAGTAGTAGTGCTGGGAATTGATTAATGAAAGCTTAATAGATGACATATGAGAAGGGACGAGATGAGAAGAGATGAGCTGGGATAAGGTGAGAAGAGCTCAGATGAGATGAACTGTGGAGTGTGAAGAGTGCAGTGTGAAGTGTGGAGCGTGAAGAGTGCAGTGTGAAGTGTGAAGTGTGAAGTTTGGAGTGTGAAGGAAGCAGTGAGAAGTGAGAAGTTTGAAGTGTGGACTGTGAAGTGTGGAGTGTGAAGTTTGGAGTGCAAAGAGTGCAGTGTGAAGTGTGGAGTGTGAAGAGTGCAGTGTGAAGTGTACAGTGTGAAGGAAGCAGTGGGAAGTGTGAAGTGTGGAGTGTGAAGTTTAAGTTTGGAGTGCGAAGAGTGAGTGTGAAGTGTGAAGTGTGAGGTTT